AAGGAGGGGTCAGAACGGAGTCTCGACAGGCTGGGGTGCTCCTCACCTTTCTGATAACCTCGACTTGAACTCTCCTTTGGTTCAGGTTTAAGCATTTATTTTAGTTTAGTTTTAATTGTGGTAAAATACATAGAGGATAATGTTGACCATTTTAGCCATTCTGAGTACAGTTCAAAAGTGTTAAACGTTCCTGTTGTTGGGCAACCTCACACCGTCCATCTCCAGAACTTCGTCATCTTCCCAAACTGAAACTCTGCCCGCACAAACCATCAGCTCCCATGGCCCATTTTCTCCCAACCCCTGGCTGCACCGTGACTCTGCCCCCTGAGGCCGAGTCTGAGTGGACGCGTGCAGGATGTGTCCCTTCAGATGGGCTCAGTCCACTGAGCATGGTGTTCTGGAGGGTCACCAGGCTGGAGCAGGGGTAAGATTTCCTTTCTTCCGAGGGCCTAATAGCACCTGTTGCAAGTATAGCCCTCAGGTGCGTAGCCGCAGCCTCCCAGAGTGCTCGGGTTCCTGGTCCTCATCTCCGTCCGTGCAGCAGGGGCTGAACCAGACGACGTACGCTGACCCTTCTGTCCCGCAGCCTCCGTGCTGTGAGTGAATGTGTTTCTCTCACCTCTGGATCTGCGATTTGCAGGCCAGTAGTGTCAGTTTGGTGGCTTTGGGTGTGTGACCTGGCAGGTGTGGGCTGTGGACCCAGGGGAGGAGTCGCTGTCCTGTCCAAGTGGCACTTGTCATCCTGCAGGTGACACGGGCTTCACTGAGTCTCAGACCATTGAACTCCCCCCGATGCTTGCATTGGCCCAAGGCCTTGCTGGACCTTCAGCCCCTCGTGCTCAGGCTCCCAGCCCCTTGCAGACCCTCCTTGTACGCGTGAAGGGGTCTAACTCCAGCCTTCCTTCTTCCTATTATTATTTTTAATCTTCACTCGAGGACATTTTTCTATTTATCTTCAGATAGAGTGGAAGGGAGGGGGAGAGAGAGAAACATTGATGTGAGAGAGACACATTGACTGGCTGCCTCCCGCACGACCCTGACCAGGGCCGGGGATGAACCGCAACCTAGGAATCGAACCTGTGACTCTTTGGTCTGTGGGCCGATGCTCTAACCACTGAGCAAAACCGGCCAGGGCAGCCTTCCTTCTTTTTAACGTTCACTTAAATTACTGTTATGAGTCTGAGTTTAAGAGAAGTTCATATTCATTGTAGAAAAATGAGAAAAATTCTACACAGACACAGAGGAGATAATCGTCAGTATTCCTACTGCTAAGCTGGCTCATTTCCTCGTATTGCTGTGTCCCCACCTGTGTCTGCCCTGTGGGAGGGGCAGGGAGGGCAGGCAGCCTCCCCGGGGTGGCTCCCGGGCTGGTGGCCCGGCCCTGCGGAGTCGAACCTGGCATCAGCATGTGTTCGCGTCTGTCTGTGTCTGCGTCTGTGTTCATGTCCGTGTCCGTGTGAGAACCACTAGGAGAAGCAGAACCGTCAGATTGGGATCAACCCAGTGCGATTCTTTGTTCTGGGCCGTTGCTGGGAACATCACCGGGCTGGAGCTCGCCAGGGGTGCGGGTTATGGACCGGCCCTCGGAAGTCCCTTTGTAAACTTGGTGTTTGTGATTGTCTTCGGTTCATCTAGTATCTGCTGCCCGCTGTACCTGCCCACTGGTCAAAACAGAGGCAGGAGGCAACAGCGGCGTCTTCCCTGCCTGGTACACGGCGGAGAAGGCGACAGCCACCGGGCGTTCTGGTCCCACCTCTGCAATAAACCGCCGAAGGGGGCAGTTACCGGAGCCTCAGTGGCCTTCCCTTGACACCGGGCTGAGTAGTGCCCACCCCTTGGGGCGGCCTAGGGTGCTGGTACAGAGGAGCCTACTTTTGCCTGAGCAGGTCGGAAGGAAGGGGAAGGTGCCCACATGTGCTTGGGGAGGACGGTGCCGCGCCCTGGGACGGGAAGCCTGTCCTGAGAGAGGCGGGCCGGGCCACCCCGCTGCGGCCGGAAGCCGTGCGGGGGGGGGGGGGGGGGCGGAAGGCTGACCACACAAGTGGGCCCTGGGGCCAGGCACCCTCCCCGCCTCCCGCCCTCCTTCCAAATATTTGCCGGGCCTGGCCTGTTGCAGGCCCGAGCTGGGTGTTGGAGCAGAGCAGTGAATGAGATGGGGCGGTACCTGCCCCTTGGGTGCCCACAGTCCTGGGGTGTGGGGAGACAGTGAGCACATAGCACACCGCTGCCTTCCGCCGCCCTCGGCGGCCAGGGCTGTGCAGAGGGCGGCAGGGGCGGGCCAGGAGCAGAATCTGGAGCCCTGGGGAGGTGGCGCTCCCACCCCGAAGAGAAGAGCTTTCTGAGGTGGAGGCGGGGTCTCCTCAGGCTCAGGCAGCACCCGCAGAAGGGCCCACGCTGGGGGAACCTGCCCTTTGACACGGGGACGCGGTGTCGAGGAGCAGGCCCTCTGCCTGGTGTGAGGCCCAGCTCGGCCCCTTGAACCTCACCTCCTCCTCTGCAAATGGTCAGGACGGAGCCTGTGTCCTGGGGCTGCACGGAGGCTGAGGTCATGGAGGCCCCGGCTCTGGCCCCACGCGCCCCGGAGGGCTCTGCTGAGCCTGTGTCGGGTCTCTGCACAGAGGCTGAGGTCATGGAGGCCCGGCTCTGGCCCCGCGCGCCCTGGAGGGCTCTGCTGAGCCTGTGTCGGGTCTCTGCACAGAGGCTGAGGTCATTGAGGCCCGGCTCTGGCCCCGCGCGCCCTGGAGGGCTCTGCTGAGCCTGTGTCGGGTCTCTGCACAGAGGCTGAGGTCATGGAGGCCCGGCTCTGGCCCCGCGCGCCCTGGAGGGCTCTGCTGAGCCTGTGTCGGGTCTCTGCACAGAGGCTGAGGTCATGGAGGCCCGGCTCTGGCCCCGCGCGCCCTGGAGGGCTCTGCTGAGCCTGTGTCGGGTCTCTGCGCGGAGGCTGGTCGCCCCTGTGAGGCACGAGGACAGGGTGGTGACGCCCCATCACACAAGGTTTTGAAGGCCACAGGGAGGGATTTCGGTGACTCAGCAAATGTGGACTGTGGTCCCAAACCCTCTGCTTGCAGTGCTGCTTTGCCCAAAGTCAGGGAGTGCTTCCGGAAAGCGCCGAGGGCCTAGCGGAGTCTGGACGGAGAAGTGGCTTTGCTGCCCCGCCAGGCCTCAGGCCTCAGGGACAGGCACTGAGTCCAGCTGTCACTGGCAGGGCCGAGACGGGCATGGCGCTCCCTGCTGGGCTCTGGCTCCGCAGCGGCCTAGGCTGGCGGGCGGGCAGGGGCTGCTCTAGTCCACTTTTCTTGCAGGGCCCACGCAAGGGGCTTACCCTCTGACCTAGCCAATGGGGCTCTTAAAATCTCTCACATTATGTGATGTTGGCAGCTGAGTCTACCCCCCCGACTGGTGCACGGTCGGTGTGACCCTGGCCTCCCCACCTGCCCCCACTAGGCCCTACGAGCCCACCTTTTCTCTGTCCTATCTCGGAAACGGCACCTCCATTCATTCAGACGCTCAGGCCCAAACCTGCGCGTCCCCCCTGAGTCCTTCCCGTCACCCTCTGGCAGTCCGTGAGCCCCCTCAGCCTGCCTGGGCCGAGCCCCAGGCAGGGGGACCCCCCGCGTTAACCCGTACCTCCCCCACCCCGGTGCAGATGAACTCCTGACTGTAGGCAAACCCACTGAGGCCTCCTCCCACCATGCTCTGTGTGGCCTGCAGGGCAGTCTGGCCTTGGTGGCCCACCCGCAGCTGCGTTCTCTGGCCTCAGTCACTCTGAATACCCCACTGCTCCCTGGCAGGGACGCCTGTCCCCAGGCTGTGCCTCGTGCTGCTGCTCTCCCCGGTGGTCCGCTGGTCCGCACACTCCCGCGGCTGCCTTCCGACTGCCCCATCAAGCACCATGCTCCCCTCTCCTGTATCCAGGGCGCTGACCACCGCCTGCCTTTGTGTCAGGGACCCGGTGTCCGCGGTCGCCCTCCCCACTGGACCTGCGTCCGCGAGGCTGGGGTCTCGCTGTCTCATTTCTGCTGACTTGGTCACTGGGGCCAAGAACAGTACCAGGTGCTCCTGGGACAGCGGCTGGATCCATGCATGACTGGGGGGGACCAGTGAGAGGGAGGCTCCTGGCACCAAGTGAGGTGGGGGGCGGTTCCTGGGGGGCCACTCCCCACGTGGACCTTGCTGAGCACTTGCCAGGCCGGTGTCTTTGGAGGTTCTCAACCCCAGTCCACAGCGCCCTTAGGGTCTCCCTTAATTTTTCAGGACATTCTTGGGCCATAAGAAATACCCAGTGGTTCTGTTTATAAAATGGTTAGGCCCCAGCAACTCAAAGTATTTATGTCCCAACAACTTCGTAGCCATTGGAAGAATACTATTTATAAATTAAAAATATTTTTCTTTCACTTGTAAATAGCTGCCATGACTTCTTAATGAGATGGGAACCTGGGGGGCTCTGCATGGCTTCCGTGACCTTGGAGGCCACCACCCTCATGTGATGTTCCACGTGGAGGTTTGCGTGGTGCTTGCAAAACAGAGCGCATGCCACCTGCACAGAACACGTGACGTCCTTGAAGGAGCGCGGTGTGATCTGGGGTTAAAGTGGGGAGCTGCCGCTCACCTGGCAGCCCGTGTGGCGTCTGACAGATGTGGTGGGTTTCCCTGACTTCAAACTTTAAATCTCACTGCAGTCCCCCGGGGTTCTAGGGTGCTTTGGGGGGTTGTGGGATCCCAGCATTAGACCCTCATCCTGGGAGGTAGGTGTCACCTCGTTTTGCAGAAGTACAAGTTAAGGCTCAGAGAAGCCAAGACACAGGTGGCTGGTGAGGGAGCCGGGACTGGCCAGGTCCCTGTGATGCGCTGAGAACCGCGGACTGGCTCTCCTGAGCTGTGCGAGTTCAAGTACCTGGGCATGCGTCCCGTCTTCCGTTAGTGTCCCGAACCTTCCCACCCCAGGTCCTGCAAACAAAATATGAACAGTGACGGCAGCCTGTTGTCTTTCCTCCTTGCAG